GGCAGGCCTTGTTCTGCCCCTCGCCACGGGCGCTGGGGCAATGCAGCCCGAGGTCGCGCAGCACTAGCACCGCTGCCGGACCGCCCGGACCGACGGCTCTGAAGTCGAGGGAGCGAAAGAGGAATGCTGGCTGGTACCCGCTCGTTACTCCAGACGGGCTTGTCGCACCGGCTGACAAGGACGCATCCCGGGTTTGCCCTGCCCTCCCCAGTGCCCCCCCGAGTCTGCACGTGTCTGAGCAGTAGTCACCAACCAGAAGGGACCACCTCGTTTGTCTCCACCTGTAAAACATCAACAGCTTCAGTGCCCCAAAGCTATTAACTTTCCTGTCTCTCACCAGGATGTTGCCACACTTTATAACAGTTGTTGAGAAACTGGTAGGTTTCTTTTACAACAAGTTACGGAGCCCGTGTGGAACCATGTGCTAAGCACAGAGGAAAATCTGACAGATGAACACAAGTAAGGAGATGGAAAATCCCCCCCAAATACCCACAGTGGTTGATCAAAGGGTTGTGAGTCAACTGGAACACGAGCAAGCGTCACGATGAGCGGCATGCTGTCATGTGGTTCGAATGGGCAGCAAAGACCCCCTTGTCCCCCACTGCTGGCTCTGCAGCGGTTGCGACCTTTTATCTGCAATTGACCAGATGGGGCAAACCGAGAGTCCCCGTACAATTCTCTTTGTTTCCCCCCTTTTTGGGCTCCCCACTAAATATCCAGCCTGCCATAGTTCAGATTGCATCCCTCCTTCGGTATTTGCTTCATCAACAAAACTTCCAGCATCAGCTCAAACCCAGATCCTTTAACCTTCCTCAGTAGTTCCTTTCCAAACATACCTCCTTCTTATAACGCTTTTGCCAGCCAAAACTGTTTTCCTTCTCTTGCTTGAGAAGGAAAAACAAACCAAGGCATATGCAAACAAAAGCTGTTCTGCTAACCAAGCCTGAACCCCTGCTCGAGTTGAGCAACCTCCCTCTCGTAAGAAGTGTTGCCTCTGGATGACACCATATGACTATCCGTCACCTGACTCAGCGACAGGCTGGG